CAACCTCGTCACAACAATATGCCCCCCCCCCCCCTCATTTCAGCCCTCTTCTTCTCCTGTTTTTTCCCTTTCACGTTTCTCCACTTCTCAATTGAAGAAAAAAAAAAAAAAAGACAATAGAGTCCTTGCAACAGCCGGTCCCTCCTTTCGCTCTCTCTCTCTCTCTCTCATCTGTCACTCTCCCATCACGGGTAAAATTTCGATTGTTTTGGGTGGAGTGGTGGGTGTTCGTTCGTGCGGAGGGGAAAAAAAAGAGTATGCGCAATTCGCGGATATCCGCATGTGCGCCCACTCCTCCCTCGCTCCCCTCCCCCACTTCACGGTGTACTCTAAGCCATATCCCCACAGACATCCATGCCCATGTCGCACAAGGCGCATGTGTGTTCCTGAATGCCTCATTCATTCCGCACCCCCCACCCGTTGTCACCTCCTCGTGCCCTCAATGCCAAGGACTTCTTGCTTCCTTCTTATTCGGCGTTTTTTACTTTCGTCTTGTTGTTGTTGTTTTTGTTGTTTACCTTTTTTTTTTTTCTTTCTTTCTTCCTTCGGGTCTCCGCTGCAACGTCGTCGTCCCCACACACACACACACACTGCCGCTCACGTCTACCTCCCCTACCCTCTAGGCTTGGCACGTCTGCTACCCTTCACTCCCCCCGCGGCCCTTTCCCCTGTAGGACGGGCGCCTCCCCTGGACTGCTCTCCAGGGAGGCCTGTGGGCCCGGTGCGCGGTGCGGTGTGGGGGGCTCCTGTCGGTTCGGCTCGTCCAATTTTGTCGGTTGCGTTGGATTCTCCGGCATGTTTCACTTAATTTATTTTCCTCCCCTACTCCCTCCTGTTTTGTTTTTCTTTTATGTCTTCCTGTTGTTGTTCCTGCGGCGTGGCAACGCACGTTACGATATGCCTGCTGTGATGCCACCGGTTGCTCCTCTTCCTCCTCCCTGTGGCTTCCTACCACCTCACCGATTGGATTGAACTTCTCATGCGTGTTTGTGTTTGTGTGCGAAAAAAAAAAAAAAAAAAGAGAATTAATATGAGAAATGCCACTTTTAAGTTGCCGGGGAAGCAACCGCACAGACACACCGCCACTGCCGTCATCATCATCATCACACACACACGCACACAAATATATAAACAAGAGGGCAGACGGCCGCGTCATCTTTTTTTTTTTTTTCCTTCACTAAATGCTTCCGTGAATGGTGTCACGAGCTTCACTGCCCCACCCCACCAGCCTCTTATCGATGATAACAGACACATGCACGCACGCCATTTATTCTTCTGCCGCCCATCCACTCACTCTCCCTCTCCGTCTCTCTTCGTGGTGGGCGGCACCGCAGCGGCCAATACGCACCGCCAAAACAATTTAAAAAAAAAAGAAAGAGAGGGAGGGAGGGAGAGATCTTCACCATTGCCACGTCACTCCCGCCGCTGCCGGCTCACATCTTTTCAGCGTCCGTTTTGTTGTTGTTGTTTTTTTGTTCGTGTTTTTTGTTTGTTTGTTTCCTACAACTTTCTCAAAGCTTTTTTCCTTCGACTTTTTCTTCCCCCTCACTTGTGTTCTTTTTTTTTTTCTTTCGTTTTTCCTTGTTTCTTCGTTTTATTTATTTTCTTTTATATAAATACATTAAAAGTATATAAAAGAACGTTTTTCTTCTTTTTTTTATTTTATTTTGCTTGTTTTTTTGTTTTCCTCCTCTTCGGTTCACTGCACTCTCCGAGCGGTGCGGCGC